CAGCGATTACTCTCGAGATCCGAAACCTACAATAGTTCCTTATAATTTAGAAATAGTTCCGAAGCATATCCAAATAGTTCCAGCAAACCTCGAAATAGTTCCTAAGCCCATTTGTGCCCCGACACAGACCCCTCGATAAACAGCCCACCGAACATCCCAAGGACGAGGGGTTACTGGCTGAAAGACTCCATGGGGCTTAGGCTCTCTGGAGTCGTTGTTCAGACAGTACTGCAGGGTCCAAACGGACATCAGCCTTGAGCCGTAAGCCAACACCTCAAACCTGTCAAACCCCAAACCCCAGAGAATCCCAGTATTTTTACACTTCAGGTCTTCATTTCCTCCCAGACTGAGCAAGCTAAAGTCTATGGCTCGAGCTCATGTAGTTTTGTTTCAAACCCATAGTGGGGGCTCTTGACACGCCTGTCAAACCCCTGTTCAACATTCCGTGAGAGGCTGTACCAAGGAAATACACCAGTGTTAAGGTCTGGGGTGCTTCTTTACAGTGAGAATACCTCACTCCTGGGATGCTTGATTCAGATCAAAATCTCGCATTGAAGGCTGGGGACACGATGCACCTAGGGTTCAGGGATTGCGGCGTCGATGGCGATTTTGCGTTTAGGCCCGATCACAACGCAGAGCTCTTAGTAGTAGGCTGAATGAAGGGCGAGCGTCAGGCTCCTGCGCCTGCAATCCAGCTGGATCCATCAAGGAATATTCTGATTTGAAGCTCTTGTAGGTTGGGTGCACCTGGGCTCCATAAGGTATGTAGCAACAGACACACACACAAGGGTCCGCGAATCCTTCCATCCATCCACGCATAGACAGCTATGTCGATACTGTAGGTAGACGCATAGACATATACATACTTTACAGTTGTGCACGCAGACATGCATGGATCCCGGCCGCAATGATCTCCATGCAAGCTACACTCTGAAGTTTGAGAGACAGAAAAAAGGGTAATGTTGAAGCTCATGTAGCTGGGCCACCTTCACCACTGAATTCTGGGTCCCTGAACTCTTGCTCCGGAAGTCGTAGACTGTGATGTCGTGGTCAGCATGCATTTGACCGTACTCTATGATGTCAATCAGTATCCATGTTGGCAGTGCGAAAGTGTGAGCCCTGTCAACTGGCTCCATTCGAATACGAACGCGCTCCTCCTCTGGGTTGGCCCCTGTAAACCCGAGCGGGCAAATGTTGGTATATGGGGTCCCCTTACAACCCAATAGTGAAAAACGTAAAATGGTAGTGTTCAAAAAAGTAGGTCCATTGTTGGGGGCTCCTAGAATAAGGACTATATATATGTATCGCATTTCGGGGTATATTGGAGGGAACCCCACTTTGGAAAACCCCCAAATATTCCAGGGGCCTAAACCCTAAACCCAGTCCTCCTCCATCCAATGCAGGAGCATCTTGGGACTCACGTAGGCCTCGCACAGCTCTTGGCTTCCCAAGGCGTTGAGCTTCTTCAAACAGAATCGAACGTTGGACTCCAAAGAAGAATCTCTAATCTTGATGAGCATTTCATCTGGGAACTTGACGAACTTTGGCTCTGCGTTCTCCACCACTGCCGTAATCTGTGGAGGGTTGCTGCCAGTCTCAACCGTCAAGTAGTAATCGCCAGTCTCGTGGGTTGGAAGATCTCCGACTATGACGTTCACGAGCTTTACTGGGGTCTGGACAACACCCATGTACTGGCCAAAGACCCTCAACAGATTCTTGCCCTTGCAGTAGCCAAACGGCCAGCAAGTTGGCCAGCAACTAGAATTCGTCAACATTGCTGTCCACTTGCATTCACAGGTGCCACACAGAGTCACTACCTTCCAGATCATGGAGTTTAGGTCCACGTGAAAACGGTCGTCCCCTGTCAGGAGCACCATCACGCGATCCCTGTAAAGGAAGGCCAAATAGACCCCCAACACAAGCAAGACGAGGATGATCAACCTGAGTTGGGTATGCTGACACATAGAGCCAAAGGATCATATGAGCCATAGTCTAAACTCCCCGTATCCCCCGTAAACCCTAAAACCCCATATTAGTCCCTATAGAATCCCTTGTATAAAACCCTTTAAGGAGTTTAGACTATGGCCCACATACCTCCCACTGCTGTTAGAAATCACCTGCAGCACCCCAACTATGCCACATCCCTAAATTCGGATGGTCAGCGGAAATGGAAATCCCGCTTCCTCTCTCCCCCCAGAACCCCAAATGCAGCGAAGAGGTTGGAGTGGGGCAGAGACAAGGTTGGGACATGATAAACAACTTTCTTCCCGTTCGACAGTGTCCGTCGACCAGAGACAGCGCGTAGGGCTGACGTGCACAGGCTGAGCCAAGGCTCGACAAAACATAGTGGCAATCCTACGGTCGTAGTTCTCGCTGCAGTCTGGAAAACCGACTCATGGCGCATGCTACCCCTACACGACATTCTTCCGTACAAGACGCGGGGACCTCTTCAAAGCCGAGCATGCGTAGTCAAAGGCATGCGTTTTTCTTCTTGCCGGCGCACGCATGGTCGCAGGTCCCGGTATGCTTATGCACAGGAACGCATGAAGGGCACCGCCAGGAAACTTGCCAGGTCTCGATTCTGTAAGGGTTGACGGTCTGAGGTCTGCGGCATGAGCCGGAGGCTCTTGGACTGCGGCCATTTTGCGAGCCCCCCACTCCGGCAAGAGTGGGGGCTCTATCGACAGTGCACCCTAAGCCCTAAACTCAAACCTTCAAAAAATTATAAGTATTTGACGGAGGCGATGCGAGCCACGTAACAGCCTGTCGAGTTACTGAGTCCTCCGTTTAAGTGTATGAGTGGATGACTCTGTATAATTCTGTATACGCAACTGACTACAGGGTGTGCCAGAAGAACTGAGACACCAAGTTCTGAGCAATACCCACCTGTTCCAACACCTCCGCAACAAACCTGTCCTGGTGTGCTTCAAGCAGCTGGTTGGCATCAGCTATAGGGTCGAAGGCGTGTACGGGCACCACGAGCTGTGCCGAAACACAAACCACCAGCCATGGCAAGGACATCCTCTGCAAGGAGGCAAGCGGGAAACCAGGGCGAGGCTTGAGCCCTTTTTCAAAACTGCGCTTAGAGTAGTTCCAGAAATGTTGCCGCATGTTTGCAACCAAAAAGCAGGGTGTCGTGCTTGCAACAATAAATGTTCCAACAACTTGTCTGTGCCACAACAGAAAAAGCTTGTTGCTCAGGGTGAAAAGGTTTTCTATTTGGGGAGGGGATTCAAAACTAGAGTTGCGCACGAAGGGGACTAGCTGTAGGAGCCCCAAAGGCCTGTTGCAATCGCAAACGACGTGCTGTTGGCCGTCGCGTCTCCACACAATACCTGCAAATTTAGTGCGCAACCAGCTGGGTTTTGTCGTGGATTGGTATAGGTCATACCAGGAATGAAGGAACATTTTGGATCTCGTGCCACGAATGATGATAACTTCAGCTACACCTATACCCTGGGTGGGGAAATGGGAACTTCCCTGTCTGCACCGACCATGTTTGCATACAACTACGAAAAACCAAGCCTTATGGCCTTATGAGGATTGCGGACTTCACACCCCTGTGCACATCTATGACTGGCAACTCGAATCCGAACCTCTGTCGTGAGCCAGGTCGGAAGGAGGCATGGCAGATGCCATTGCCGGTTGAGGTTTACAAGGATTTGGTGTAGGGGTCCAGGGGTTAACGGGGCTTTAGGGGCTTATGGGGTTCAGGTGCAGAGTCTAAGTCCGGGCTCAGGGTGCTCCAATTTGGCGGATCGTGTGGCTGGTAGGCGGGGATGGCCCTTGCAGAGGCAAACCTCAAAAGCACTGAAGGCCTCATCGGCCCACCTAATTTTGAAAAGCGGCCTCGTCCTCATGCTTCAAGCCGAATTTGTGTCGAGCCATGTGGTCATGGTCACGGTTGAGATCGTCGACACATGCTCCTTGCAATCGTAGGATGCACCTTTTTTCCTTTTTGGCGTGCATTCCGACCCGCTGCGAAGGCATGGACGAGCTCCTAAGAAGTTGCTGCGACCTTCCGCTCCGGGCTCCGGCAGCAGCAACACAGAGCAAGCCCCCCGTCCCTGCGAATTCAAGGCTCATGTGCCCTGCTTCTCCGCAAAGCTTCCATGGTTATATAAATCTTACACCCTGACGGCGACTCCACAGCAGAGTTCTCTTGCGACGAGAAGCGGCCAATGTGTACAGAAGCCCAGTGAAGACGAATTAACTCGAATTATACGGCCCTCCGGGCTTCAAGAATTGCAAGGGGAAATGGACGGCAGCTAATTTGGATTCTGCAGATTCCGAGTTCAAGGAGGTGTGTCGAGAAGACCAAATCGGAGGGGTGCCCAGGTGCCCAGCCCCGTTGATGCCAACACATGCCACATTGCAGCGCCCCCGCTTGGACAATGACTATATCTCTTCTTGTCCGGGGCCTAGGGGAGCTGCACGTGGCGAAGTTGAGATGTCGACAGCTCCTACACAGCCCTGCCACTGCTCTGCCAATCTTGCGCAGAAGGTGAAACTCTGTTACATCGTCTCCCCGTCAGTTCCGGAACAGGTGATCCATTCATGCTGGCTGACGTCCGTCCCTGTTCTGGATCACACGGGAGTGAGACAAGAGCCAAAATCACGTACCTCTCATGATGCTTGCCTTGAGGCAAGCCTGAGCTATCTGGCCTCCCATGTCAGACAAGCACATCTCTACTCGACAACTTCGTAACATTAGCCAGTAATCAGCCACGGCCTTGTCAACGAGCTATCTGTGACCCTCGTGGTCTTTCCACTGTCGCAGAAGTTCCACATCAGCCCTGGTCGGAGGTCACGGACGTCTCATGTGCAGGGGGGTGTAGCCAACCCTATCTCCAAACCTTCTAAACCCCAAAAAAGGATCCCGAACATGGCAAAGTCAGCCCGAGCCCCGCGCTCGGACTTCGCAAGCCGCTCCTGAGCCCGCCAGGGAACCGAATCTCGCCACTCTCGATCAATATCAATAACGTATGTAGGCATGCAGGTAGATAGATAGATTGATGGATGGATGGATAGATAGATAGATAGATAGGGAGAGAGGGAGAGAGAGAGAGAGAGAGGAAAAAATAAAACTATAGCTATAGCTATAGATACAGGTATAGATAAGATCAAGATACGAATAGAGCTACAGACACAGATACAGATTTGCTTGTGGATATGGATATAGGCACGGGTATAGATACAGATAAAGGTAGCATAGATATAGATGTAGGTATAGAAAAAGAACTTGCTATTGATATGGATATAGTATACAGATAGATATATATATATATATTATTTACAGTATTTATTTAATTGTATTTATTTATTTACAGACATAGATATAGGTATAGGTATAGATATAGACGGAAGATATAGATGTCGATGTAAATAAAGAAAAAGAAATAAACGAAGACAACGATAAGGATAACGATCAAGATCTAGATAAAGATATAGACATAGATATAGACGCTATAGATATAGATACGGATATAGATATACGTAGGTATAGATATCGATATAGATATGGATATAGATATGGACATAAATATGGACATAGATAAAGATGTAGGTGAAAATATACGTCTTGATCATCTCTTTCATTATTTGTTGATGCACATCCACACATACATGCATACCTACCTACCTGCGCAGGTACGTACGTACGTACGTACGTACGTACGTGCATACATACATACTCTCATACTACATCAGATCCCGCCTTCAGCAGGGCATTCTCCGGCTCTTCCTCACGTGCCTCCCGTCCAAAACAACACAGAGCCGTCCGATCAACCGCAGATCAGATCTAATCAGTACCAAATCACAGCTAAGTCAGCTAAGATTGCCGTGGCTTTTGCTGCCCCGACTAGACACTGGGTCGTGTTCGTGCATGCCAACATGCCACAGATGTGCTTGCAACGTCTACCCCTTTGTTTCTGTGATAGCCTCAATTGATTTGGGTCATCAGGTTAGCCGTATTGGGATGTTAGGGGAAGCGTGTGGTGACGTTTAACGCGATGCCTGCATGCTGAGGTATCTGAGAACATCCAATACCTACCAGATCATACCAAATCCAATTTTTTTGAAGTTCTCAGTTGCCGAGCATGAAAGGACGTCACAGTTCAAACACGGTTTCGGGTTCTCTTCGTCGTCTGTGTTCAGGGCATGTAATGACCTCGGATCTTTGCGCAGGACTTTTCAGATCCAGGTTGCGTGATCCCCGACTCCCCCAAGTGCGCCTGTCTGACCTCCTTGATGACACTGGGGATGTCGCCCCTGGACTGCGCCTCAGCGGCTCGGCTTGCCAGCGGGTGCACATAGATGGCAGATCGAGGTCGCCAGCGGGGCACGGGTCTAGGTGTCGGGCATCAAGCTCACGGATGTAGTTCGCCATTTCTTCAGACTGCTCCTGGCTCCAGATGCTTCAGAAGTTCACTCTTGAATCCGTAGGCGGAGTTGCGGTGAGGCTGCCGCGTCTGAACAGTCTGCAAGAAGATACTTGGGGTGCCTGGAGCTGGCGATTTCGCAGATGAAGCTCCTGTCGGCTCAGAATGGCCCAAATTTGTGCTGTTATAATTTATGATGATATAATACAGTATTTTAACTGAATATTATCGGACCATTAAAGAATTATGCAACACAGTATTTCAACTGAACACTATCGGATCTTTGCAGAGGCTTCTGGGCTCATGGTACCAACTCGCGCTCAGAAACCGCTCGGCCCGGTCCTGAACCAGGCCCTGGTTCTTGTACTCGAGGTCCTCAGCTGCATGGCACAGGGCCGAGCAAGAAACTCGAAGCCCAAAAACCCAAAAAAGCCCTGAACCCAAATCTCGAACCCTAAACCCTAAACCCTAAATCCCCACAGCCTAACGCCGACCACCTCTACCGCTCAAAACCCCGAAGCAAAGCGCCCTTTGAGGCGCGCGCCTCAGAGGCTCTCCGCTCCTGCCGAACCTGAAGGTCAAGTTCTTTCCATTTCGGCTCGGCTTGGTGTCCACTAGCACCGTACCTTCGAACTCAGGGATCGAAAGTGGAAACTACTAGTTGGTGGGTGGATGGGTGGGTGGGTGGGTGGGTGGGTGGGTGGGTGGGTGGGTGGTGTGGGTGGGTGGGTGGGTGGGTGGTGTGGGTGTGTGTGGGTGGTG